AAAGGCCCGGGTTTTATGTAATGCTATGGAACTTGCCCGAGTTATCTTGGGATAAGTCCATACATTTATCTTTATACACTGAATTTTGGCAGTGATTTAAAATATGTCAGTCTTACTCTGGACACCCTGTATGTATAAATGTAAATTTAAATTAACAATATTTTATATTTTTGAGACTAATAATGAAACCCCATCAGTGGTTCAAGAAGAATACTTAAAATTAATATTAATTAACACATTACAGTTGTTCTGTGTTAAAGAAACTGGAAAAATATGTGCTGAATACAAAAAACTGGAAAACTCTTAGAATCAATAATATATAAAGTATAAAAAAACGTGAACTTATGATTGTTATAATAAAATAAGTAATGTCTTTTGAAAAAATTACAATAAATTTGTAAAAAGTATACTAGCTGTAAAATGAAACATTAAAAGTTTATATAAGGTAACAAACTGACAAAATGGATTTACATATTGGATGACCATCTTAACACAAATGAAGCACAAATCCCTCCTAACCATTCTTTGACATGACTGGGTAAAATTCTAAGTAATCTCTTGTAAAAGAAAAAAGAAAAGAAAATGCAAACAGTATAGGATAATTATCAGTTATTTTTAGGTTAATTAAATAAAATATATACATTGTGTTTATTGACAAGACTATGTCTTGTTTATAAAATCGTACTGTCGTTTTCTGTTACCAGCATAGAGGTATGAAGGAGTACATGTCGAGAGTTGATAGTTGGCACAGAGTATTAGGTGCCCAAATCATTTGCTCACAAAAAAATCCAGACTTGTAAGTAGTCAGGGGATGAGAACTGAGTCAAAATAAAATACAAAATGGCGACCCTCTTCTACAAACAGGCAAAACAGGCACCTCACCCCACCAAAGTCAGGTGGGGAGAGTACCACTCACATTCATTCTAAGAAGTGAACTCTGACCTTAGGACTGAACACGTAGTTTCTTCTATGTTAAATAAAACTTGTAATCTAATTTTGTAAATTTGGGAGTGCTTCAAATATGAGGTTAAAATGGTTTTATGTCGTTACAAGTGGGTTTTTTAACATTATCTAGTATAGTAAAATTGTGGGACTGATAAAAATTTGATGTTATATTAGGGTTGTTGTTACATCCGATGATGTTATAATTGGGTTAAACTGTATATTGTTTGTGCAAAATAAAAAATAATTTTGGACAATACAATAGCCACAATTATTTTTTTCAAAAATGGGAAATTTTCATTACACATCAACAAAAATTCAACCCGAGCCGGAACGCAACAGAGAGAAATTTTGAGATTGGATAGGTTAATTTATCGACCTTGTGGTCGTGGCCGGCAAAGTTTGAACAATTGCGCCCAAAAGCAGCGATACCAAAGAAGATTGGAGAATGAGAACAAGACCTGCCTTGAGCATCAAAGTGATTCCACTTAGTAGTGAGTCTCCGAGACATATTCTTGTCCCAAATATGGTTTTGCCGCCTTACTTGTTTTTATTTATTGTAAAAAACAATAAATAAAAATAAATAAATATGTTTTTGGGATCATATAGGAACATGATCCTGAAAAAAAAAACCATTTAAAAACATATTCTATGAATTATTTTAATGAAATGAATTCAGTGAATTTTTACAATCAATTTATTAATTAACAGGCACATTAAAGAAGAGAAGAAGAAGAAAAAAAGATCAAAGCGTTCAAGGACTAAAAGTAGAAGTCCTGATAGAAGAAAGTAAGAAATAATTTAACTGAGGAAATTTTACATTATGATAAAAGTTTTTTTTTAAATTATTAAATTATAACTAAATTCTGTTTATTGTGAATTTTTGCATAAAAATCCTAAATGTTGAAATAAGAATAAAGATGAATTTAAAAATTTTAAAGTTACTGACATTTACTGATTATTTTTGATTATGTAAAGCCAGTTAAGAATAAAACAAATTTATTTGAACTTTTTTTCTATAAATTCAAAGAAAAGAAAAAGATAGTTAATCAGTTGAAAAATGTTACTATTATGGTAATTCTTTCTGTTATAGAATTTTATAGAGAAGGAATACAGAGGACCAAACAGATATCCAAAACATCTGTCAATACATTTGAATTTGATATAAAAAACACAATTTTTTTATTTGTTGAAATACAATAAGAAAGAATTGTGTAGTAGAATATATGTTTTTAATTTTATAGTAATATTTTAGGTTTGAAAAAATAATTTTTTGGGCAGATTTATTTTAAATATGTATACTGTAGAAGTTATTTTGATGCTGAGAAAGCTGTTTTCTGTTTTAAAATAATGTTTATGGATTTGTCTTAAATTTAAAATTTATTAATTAAACTATTATTATTCTTTAATAATAATTTAATTAATAATTTTAAATGTGCCAATTTTTTAATAAGTATATAGATAGTTTTTATTAATTTAATTAAATTTTACCTTTTATATTTTTTATTTTAATGATATATTTCATTCCAAATTTGTTACAAATTTTAATGCATTAATTAGCATTGAAGTATTTGAGATTGATAATAGAATAATGATTGTAGAAAAAAAATTACTACAGAAAATCTTGTTGAATATATAAGAAAATGTTAAATGGAATAATAGGAACAAAAACCCAAAATAAAGTTAGAAATGGCATTTTATTCATAAATCAAATAACATTTTTCTGTTAGTATACAAAGAAAAAAAGGAAACAAAATAAATAAATGATGATTTACTTTCATAAGCATATATTTTTTGCTAATTTTTAATGATAAATGCATAATAAATTTTGGCATAATAAAAGTTAGATAATTAGTTGTTTTTTTTCTAAGTTTAAAAAAGTGTAAATCTTATCCATTTATTTATTTTTTTCTTTGTATGCTAATAGAAATGTGATGTTTTATCTATAAATACCGGTAAAATTTGTTGAATAAACTTTTTTCCATCATCATCATTTTGAATTCTTTATAAATATACCATATTTGAAATTTTCCTGTCAAATATGTTTTTGTTAAAGAAACGTTAAAGTATATCATTCAATATATAAATTTATGTACTGATAAAAATTTTTACATATTGAAAACTCAGATATTTTTATACTTTTGATAATTTTTATGGCATTTGATTTTTCATTTGTTATAAATAAAAATAGTATAGAAATATATTAATAAATAAAACATTTTGTTAATTTGATGATATCCAATGACTAAAGAATGAAAGAATGTTGCACATATTATTCAATCATATTTCATGAAATATTTTAATAGTAAATTTGATGTTTTGTGTGTAAATAAACAAACAATCCAGATAATGAACAATGGTAAAGATATTGTTTTATTTGCTGCTGAATAATAAAATGAAATGAGTGAAGAAATACAATTAGGAGAGAGATATTATACTTAATATTAAAAAAAAATGAATAATAATCTTTAAAAATATAATTTAAACAAATAAACATATCATTAAAATGTGTCATATTTTTATGATTTATTTCTTTAGTTAATTCAGAGTAAGCTTAGTATATATTTATATATATATTAATTTAAGTTTAAATAAATATATATATTAAAAT